GTTTGATTAAATCGTACGCGTTGTAGATGTGTTCAATGCTAAGAAACATGAGTTTCAAAATCAGATTGTCATGCATTACTTTGCGCATCAAAGACGTACATTTAAAGGAGGCTATCAATATGTTGTTGTCAAATCAAAAGCAAATGGCAATCTCCTTGCTCGACAAGTGCCACGAAGAACTGAAGACAAAGATCGACGCTCGCATGAAGGGTTCCACAACATGCCTCACCATCGTTGGGTGTTCTTACATCAACAACGACGCGGTCGTTGTTGTTGTTGTATGGCTGTCTCTTTCAATTCTTGTTTATACATGAAGGTAGTGGTGACTGGCCAGCAAGGACACGACCACAATTTTATTGAATACGACTTCTAACGCGTGTTCAAGACGTACGATAGCACCACAATGCAGGCGCGGTGACGGACAACACAAGTGCAAACAAGAAGGCTTGAACATTGCTACGCGACAAGTTTTTGTCCCGCTTCTTCAAAGGCTGCACATCACATGGGTTGCATCTATTTGTGAAAGTCATCTTCCGTGCGACAAAAACCAAAAAAGCGGACGACGACACAACGACGTATTCGGTAGACTATCTATTCGAGTATATGCTACTTTTCATCAACAAGTGCAAAGATATCGTGAAGTTCTATCACAATCATCATGTGATGAAGACGCAGCTCAAAGAGATGTAGAAAGCTTCGGATGCTCGGAGCCTCATTCATCTATGTCCCACGCGTTGAGCACCATCGAACAGATGTGCAAGATCCAGCTCACTTTAGAATAGCATCTGCACGCGATTGATTCTACACATGACTTCATCAAGGGAACAGTCATTCAAGTCAAGGAGTGCACCAAGCTCAAGGAAATTATCACGAACCCAAAATTTGTCGATCTTTTGAAGAAGACTATCGCAATAATGGCGCCCTTCAACATCCTCATCATCATTTACCAATCCGACAAGGTTCTCATCTCAGAGGCGATGCTAGATTTCCGAGCATTGCCCCAACAGTTCTGGATGCTGCTCGCCTCCAAGATCATCAACAAGGACGAGCTCGCTTATTTGATCAAGACGTTTCGCGATTTCAGTTTATGTACGACAACGCACATGGTTTGGTCTAAATGCTCGATCCATGGTTTATTGCGAAGAGAATGCTAAGGCAAAATCGTGAAGCGCTGGATAACATCATGTTCCGATTTCTTGCTTATGATGAGCTGGGCGAGTATGTTAACGAAGCGCAAGCGCAAATCATCTTCAAACATTACACCGAGTTTGTCATCACCGCGACCAATGTGAAGGAGGAGGATTCAATGCGCTATGCAACGTTATTCAAAGGCCATAATACCTTTTTGCAGTAGTGGTTGGTCGTTAGCAAATATTAGCCTGAGCTGCAAAGTATTTCCATCAAGCTCTTCAGCATGGCGAGGTACAGTGCCACCTCAGAGCGAAACTGATCAAAAATGGTCTTTATTCATTCGAAGCTAAGGAACTCTTTAACCCTAAAGAGCGTAGACAAGCTCACATACATGAAGAGCAACTTGTCAAACTTCTACGATTACGATGTGTTGGACTATGGATATGAAACCGATGATTGCGAAAGCGAATAAAGACTTCCACTTGTCACTTTCACTTGATGAAATCACTTAAGAGACGTCATTGTGTCAATAAAAAAACCTTGATTTTTATCACCAAAAATTAGATTTTATTGTATAAAACCAAAAAACCTATGGATACTAAAATAAAATCGGGTTTTAACCACCCTCATTTAATATGAGAATTTTCCTTGAAGAGCCTGCAAAATCCTTGAATCCTGAAGGATTCAATGTGCCAAGAGTTGAACTAGCAAAGACCATTACCATCTTGGCTACATCTATCTGGGTCCCGTCAAGAAATTAACATGTTTCTCATAAATTAAGAGACCATATCGAAACCTTACAGCAATGTACGTATGAGAAATAATAATATCGTCCTCAACACTCGGAAAATTGTTCATTTGACCCTTGTATATACACTAGTGAAATCTAAAAATAAAAAACTTCAATTCTGTCACATTCAATACACAGCGGACCCCGATACTATGTGAAGTAGGTACACTAGAGGATTTCAAACATACAGAGGCAAGTTTGATGCCTTATGATTCATAAGGCATCAAACCCATAAGATCGTTCATAAGTTATGAACGATCTTTGCATCGTCCACGTCTGTCTACTGAGATTTGGTTCAAGTCTGTTCACTAAGATATAGATTACAATCTTTAGGAATCACATTTCATAAGCTACTTCTTTTGAAAGTTGCAAAATGTGCAGTAGGAAGGCGCGCTCGAACGTGAAATGTTCAATGTAATAATTAAATGCTTGCAACAGGTTACAGGCTTCTAACTGTTTGGGTAATTTGGAGATTGTTGGCTATTGTTTCGTTTTTTTGGAATTGTTTACGCAAATGTACATTGGATTTGTTGTTTACGTAAAAATTAACTTTTGCATTCACTCATACAATGCATTGAAACGTTGAGTTTTTGTAGAGATTAGCCCAAAATTTCATAGAAGCTTTACCTAAAATTTCGGTAAATACGATACATTGCAGGTCTAAGTAACTTGAACAAACTGAATGTGTATGGACAGACAAGGTAACGATGACAGAAATCTGTATCCCTGAGAAAAATCAGGGATCATGGAGTGTGAATACAAATTGCTGGTGCGCATATAATATGTAAAAAAGATAGTATCTTTGTTTCAAATTCGGGGAAAATATCCACAATTCGCAACAAGAATTTCCCTCACACACTGGGATTGAATTGACACAGTCCTCCTACGTATGTACATTCCGGACTAGCTATCGACATTTTAACTGTACTCTTCTTCATCCCCTGCTTACTTGCTGGCACCACTCTGGCCAAAAAGTGCATCCTTGGCACCAAGGACGGCTCCTTTGACGGCGTCGACACCTCCTTGTAAGTAGCTTCCAGTGGTATCCTTGGCCGATGCTGCAGAGTCGGCCGAATACTGTCCTGCCTTTCCGGCTCTGTCAGATGCGACGTCCTTACCCTGTCCTGCCTTGTCGACGGTGAAGTCTTTCGCCTCTACGGCTTTCTCCTGTGCAGTAGACGCAGAATCGGCAGTGGTCTGCTTGGCCGACTCCAAAGTGTCTGCTCCATATTGAGTAGCTTGACCAGCCTTCTCCTGGACGTACTGGTTGGTGTTTGCAGCAGCTTGCTTCGTCTGGTCCCAAGCGTTTTGAGCCTTCTCTTGCACCGTTCCGGCGATGTTCGAGGCAGTGTTCTGAGCTTGCTCGGATTTCTCAGCTCCGACTTGCTTGGTCTTGTCTGCGGTCTCGGCTGCAGATTGCTTGGTGCGGTCGGCCGTGTCAGCCATCGTCCTCTTCGCTTCCTCGGTCTTCTGGGCAGTGGCGTCGTACCCCTTGTTGTACTGGTTGCTGGCCATGGTATCAGAAATCGACACTCAAAGACTGCTCAAGAACTGAGATGTAGACGTAGAAGTGAACTGAACTGAATCAATGCGCTGAACAAAATGTCTTGAATCTGAAATTCTGCTAGCGGAGTGGACAAATGTACGTGAATAAAATAAGAGAGATTCCCTTGAATTGATTGTAACTCGAGAATAGGCAGCGGTATTTATAGTGGAGTCACTGAACTGCAGAACTGAAGTCGAGAATGGCAAGGAATGAGGGCTGGACACGTGCATGACACTTGTCACCGTCACAAGAGCCAGAAGGTGATGGAGCTCCAACGACATCATTATTGAGCTCATCATGCGACGTAGCGAAAGTGCAGCATATGGGGGACGAGTCCCATGATAGTGTTGTGAGATGCAAGGCAGGTCCGGCATTGTTCTTCTAAGCGTGTGCATCGCAATCCGCTGGAGCAAAATGGAGCTACCTACACCACAGCTTAGGTTTGAGCCTGAGCAAAACTACCCATCCACGAGATAACCCTGCTTGGTGGGTGACTTGACTCTACCAAGCAGGATTGTACGCATGACCACGTGGTTGAAAGTCACTCGTTCGAGAAGTAATCTCACATTCAATTTGACAATTTTCTTTGAAGAGTCTTCAAAATTCTGAAGGAGTCAATGTGCCAAGAGTTGATCTAGCAAAGACCTTTACTATCTTGACTTCATCTATCTGGGTCCTACCAGGAAATCAACATGTTTCTCATAAAATAAGAGACCAGTAATCTTGAACTATACAGTAATGTAAATATTGGAGTTAATAATATGGCCCTCAAACTCGGAACATTGTTCGTTTGACTCGTGTATATGTCCTGCATGGGAAAAAAATTTAAAAAAACTTCAATTCTATCACATTCAATACACAGCGGACCCCGATACTATGTGAAGAAGGTAAATTAGAGTATTTCAGACATAGAGAGGCAAGTTTGATGCGTTATGAACAATCTCTGCATCGTCCACGTTTATCTACTGAGATTTGGTTCACGTTTGTTCACTAAGATACAGATTACAATCTTTAGAAATCCCATCTCTGAAGCTACTTCTTTTAAAACGTGCACAATGAATATGTGCAGTAGGAAGGTGCGCTCGAACGTGGAATGTTCAATGTAATATTCAAATGCTTGCAACAGGTTACAGTCTTGGAACAGATTTTTGTAAATTGAAGATTCTTCCCAATTGTTTCAAAATTTAGGAATTGTTTGCGCATATGTATATTGGATTTGTTGTTTAGGTGAAATTTAGCTTTTGGATTAACTCTTCCGCTGTATTGTAACATTTGGGTTTTTCTAGAGATTAGCCCAACATTTCATAGAAGCTTAACCTAAAATTTCGGTAAATACGATACATTGCAGGTCTGAGGAACTCAAGAAACTGAATGTGCATAAACAGACAAGGTAACGATGACGGCAATTTGTATCCCTGAGAAACATCAGGATGCAAACCTGGACTGTAAATACAAATTGCTGGTGCGCATATCATATGTAAAAAAGATAGTATCTTTGTTTCAAATTCGGGGAAAATATCCACAATTCGCGACAAGAATTTCCCTCAAAAAATCATGTGCACTGCACACACTGGGATTCAATATGTACATTCCGGACTAGCTATCAACATTTTAACTGTACTCTTCTTCATCCCCTGCTTACTTGCTGGCACCACTCTGGCCAAAAAGTGCATCCTTGGCACCGAGGACGGCTCCTTTGACAGCATCGACACCTCCTTGTAAGTAGCTTCCAGTGGTATCCTTGGTCGATGCTGCAGAGTCGGCCGAGTACTGTCCTGCCTTTCCTGCTCTGTCAGATGCGACATCCTTACCCTGTCCTGCCTTGTCGACGGTGAAGTCTTTCGCCTCTACGGCTTTCTTCTGTGCAGTAGACGCAGAATCGGCGGTGGTCTGCTTGGCCGACTCCAAAGTGTCTGCTCCATATTGAGTAGCTTGACCAGCCTTCTCCTGGACGTACTGGTTGGTGTTTGCAGCAGCTTGCTTCGTCTGGTCCCAAGCGTTTTGAGCCTTCTCTTGCACCGTTCCGGCGATGTTCGAGGCAGTGTTCTGAGCTTGCTCGGATTTCTCAGCTCCGACTTGCTTGGTCTTGTCTGCGGTCTCGGCTGCAGATTGCTTGGTGCGGTCGGCCGTGTCAGCCATCGTCCTCTTCGCTTCCTCGGTCTTCTGGGCAGTGGCGTCGTATCCCTTGTTGTACTGGTTGCTGGCCATGGTATCAGAAATCGACACTCAAAGATTGCTGAAAAACTAAGATGTAGATGTAGATGTAGAACTGAACTGAATCAATGCACGGGGAAAAACGTCTTGAAGCTGAAATTCTGCTGTCTGAGTGGACAAATGTTTGTGAATGAAGTAAGAGAGATCGCGTTGAGTTGATTGTAAGTCGAGAATGGGCAGCGGTATTTATAGTGGAGTCACTGAACTGCAGAACTGAAGTCGAGAATGGCAAGGAATGAGAGCTGGACACGTGCATGACACTTGTCACCGTTACGAGAGCTAGAAGGTGACGGAGCTCCAACGACATTATTATTGAGCTGATCATGCGACGTTGCGAAAGTGCAGCATCTGGGGGACTCGTCCAATGGCAGTGCTGTGAGATGCAAGGCATGTATGGTGTTGTTCTTCTAAGCGTGTGCACCACAATCCGCTTGAGCAAAATGGAGCTGGCCACACCACAGCTTGGGTTTGAGCTTGAACAAAATTACACATCCACGAGATAACCCTGCTTGGTGGGCGATTTGACTCTACCCAAGCAGGATAGGACGCATGACCACGTGGTTAAAAGCCACTCATTCTAGAACTAATCTCACATTCAATTTGATAGGTTTCCTTAAAAGACTTGAAAATCTTGATGGAGTCAATGTGCCAAGAGTTGACCTCGCAAAGACCTTCACTATCTTGGCTAAATCCATCTGGGTCCTACCAGCAAATCAACATGTTTCTCAAAAAATGAGAGACCATCTTGATGATCATACATTAATGTACATATGGGAGTTAATAATATGGCCCTCAACACTCGGGAATATTGTTCATTTGACTCGTGTATGCGTCCTGCACGGGAAAAAACCAAAAAAAAAACTTCAATTCTATCACATTCAATACACAGCGGACCTCGATATTATGTGAAGTAGGTACACTAGAAGATTTCAAACATACAGAGGCAAGTTTGATGCCTTATGAATGATCTCTGCATCGTTCATGTTGTTTACTGAGATTTGATTCAAGTGTGTTCACTAAGATACAGATTATACTCTTTAGAAATCACGTTTCAGAAGCTAATTCTTTTGAAAGGAGCACAATGTAAACGATTGTGGAGTAGGTAGGCACATTCGAACGGGGAATGTTCAATGTGATACTTAAATGATTGTAACAGATTACAGCTTTGGAACAATTGTTTACATTGGCGATTGTTTTCTGTTTTACAATCGTTTGGAATTGATTAACTAATGCAAATTGGATTTGTTCCTCAGGTGAAATTTAGCTTTTGGATTCACTCGTACAATGTATTGGTACATTTGAGTTTGTATAGAAATTACCTCAAAATTTCATAGAAGCTTTACGTAAGATTTCGGTAAGTAGTATACATTGTACTTCTGAGGAACATCAAGAAACTGAATATGTCTGAACAGACAAGGTAATGATGACAGAAATCTGTATTCCTGAGAAAGATCAGGAAATATGAAGTGTGATTACAAATTGCTCCTGCGCATATCATATGTTAGAAAGATAGTATCTTTGTTTCAGATTCTGGTAACATATCCACAATTTGCAACACGAATTTCCCTCAATTAAACCATGTGCACTGCACACACAGGGATTGAATTGACACAGTCCTCCTACGTATGTACATTCCGGACTAGCTATCGACATTTTAACTGTACTCTTCTTCATCCCCTGCTTACTTGCTGGCACCACTCTGGCTAAAAAGTGCATCCTTTGCACCGAGGACGGCTCCTTTGACAGCATCGACACCTCCTTGTAAGTAGCTTCCAGTGGTATCCTTGGTCGATGCTGCAGAGTCGGCCGAATACTGTCCTGCCTTTCCTGCCCTGTCAGATGCGACGTCCTTACCCTGTCCCGCCTTGTCGACGGTGAAGTCTTTCGCCTCTACGGCTTTCTTCTGTGCAGTAGACGCAGAATCGGCAGTGGTCTCCTTGGCCGACTCCAAAGTGTCTGCTCCATATTGAGTAGCTTGACCAACCTTCTCCTGGGCGTACTGGTTGGTGTTTGCAGCAGCTTGCTTCGTCTGGTCCCAAGCGTTTTGAGCCTTCTCTTGCACCGTTCCGGCGATGTTCGAGGCAGTGTTCTGAGCTTGCTCGGATTTCTCAGCTCCGACTTGCTTGGTCTTGTCTGCGGTCTCGGCTGCAGATTGCTTGGTGCGGTCGGCCGTGTCGGCCATCGTCCTCTTCGCTTCCTCGGTCTTCTGGGCAGTGGCGTCGTATCCCTTGTTGTACTGGTTGCTGGCCATGGTATCAGAAATCGACACTCAAAGACTGCTCAAAAACTGAGATGTAGACGTAGAACTGAACTGAATCGATGCACTGAACAAAATGTCTTGAATTTGAAATTCTGCTATCAGAGTGGACAAATGTACGTGAATGAAATAAGAGAGATTGCGTCGAGTTGATTGTAGCTCGACTATTGGCAGCGATATTTATACTGGAGTCACTGAACTGCAGAACTGAAGTCGAGAATGGCAAGGAATGAGTGCTGGACACGTGCATGACACTTGTCACCGTTACGAGAGCCAGAAGGTGACGGAGCTCCAACGACATTATTATTGAGCTGATCATGCGACGTAGCGAAAGTGCAGCATTTGGGGGACTCGTCCAACCGCAGTGCTGCGAGATGCAAGGCAGGTCTGGTGTTGTTCTTCTAAGCGTGTGCACCGCAATCCGCTTGAGCAAAATGGAGTTGGCCACGCCACACCACAGCTTGGGTTTGAGATTCAACAAACCTACACATCCAAGAGATAACCTTGCTTGGTGGGCGATTTGACTCTACCCAAGCAGGATAGAACGCATGACCACGTGGTTAAAAGCCACTCGTTCTAGAACTAATCTCACATTCAATTTGATAAGTTTCCTTGAAGAGCCTTCAAAATTCTGAAGGAGTAAATGCGTCAAGAGTTGACATAGCAAAGACCTTTACTATCTTGCCTACATCTATCTGGGTCCTACCAAGAAATCAACATGTTTCTCCTAAAAGAAGAGCGCATCTTGAAGACCATACAGTAATGTACAAATGGAAGATGATAATATGGCCCTCAACACTTGGAACATTGTTCGTTTGACTCGTGTATAGGTCCTGCATGGAATAAAAAACTTACAAAATAATCAAGCGACGTGATGACGAACTCGATTATTTGTGACTCAAAGCCAGTATCCAAATTCTACTATCAAATCTAGGCGAATCCACTTTGTTGGATAGTCTTTCTTTCTCTCCGATAAACATGAAGAATCTTCAATCACAACTTCCATCACAAACTACATGCACTACACCTGATAGGTGTAGTGCATGTAGTTTGATAATCGACTGGTGAAGGGCGAAAAAACTACATCAAGGACAGAGTAGAATATGATTGAAGGCCCAATGGCATGATCCGAGGTAGGATTGTTGTAAGGTCAAGACAAATACTGCATGTAATACACCAAAGAGTGGGACAAGTGAATAAAACATAAAACAGGATAGAAAGATCCCATGAAATTAGGGACACCATATTGCATGTCCATTTGCAAGAGGCTGACCAGCTTTCTCCCTTCGCTGCCTGAGAGTTTGGATGGAATACTTTGACTTTGTCTTAAGTCACCACTTTCACAAGTTTGTGATGACCACAACAACCATCTCAAATGTTTGGAAGACTTTAAAGAATCAATTAAAATTCGTGTAGATATGTTCGATCCGCACCTAGCCTTCCTTTCCCTTCGTTGCCTCACACATGTCCGTTTTGCATCGTTCATGATCACCTCAGCGTGTCATGTGGCAAGTTCCTGCAATGTTGTTACAGTCTATTATTTCGTTTGCCGTCCATTTCAACGAAGTCTCATGTGCCATCTGTGACATCATGCATCCATCAGATTCGGCTGTGCTAGGTCCGGGGATCGATTTCATCATTGTTGAATATACCATTTCTACAATAATTGTCCCTACCATCATTATCCATATATACTAAGCCTCCCTTGCACTAGATTGAATCATCATGGTTTTAACTAACTAATAAGAAATTGATTCCCCACAAAGATGATTTTTCAGCCTCAAATACATCAGTAAACGTATGAATGATGCCCGATGTTATCCAACACATCTGAGTCGAGCCCGTCAAGAGATTTCATGTCTAACATGCTAGCCTCGATAATTCATTATTATCTCCGGTAGAAGATTTGCTTGCCATGCTTGACATCTTTCAAGCTTCTCCAGAATTGAATCACACCCATACCTAGACGCTATTCCATGCACCATCTGGTATCTGAACTAAACCAACCACTTTTACTCTCGTAAGGTATAACTTGCCTCAAAAGGTTGGTTTCCAATAGTTATAATGGAAGACCTGATAATGGTTTTCAAAACATTAATTTTTTTTGCTTTAGTTGCTCATTGTAACTCATTGCCACATTGGGGTGAACCAAGTTCAAATGCATGAGATTCAATATAAACGTAAAAATTAGTAACTTTCCATAAAAACAAAATCGATAGTTACAAAAAATATTGCTCATTATTGATATATAAGTTGATATATTTCCAAAAAAAATTCACATGAAGATGTATATCTAATCTGGAATCAATTCATGATCTTGATTTCTTGAAATATCTTAAAATTCCAAAGTCCACATCTTAATATACACTCTTTTTTATCAAGTTAAATATCACACACTTTACTAATGTCATAATTTATCAGGATTTAGAATTACGCTACCTCTTAATTGCACTTGCTTAGAATGTTTTGGATAAAGATAATCTTGCTCTATACAACATGTTGTGAAACCAATTATGTGCCCACATTTGAAATCAACCTTAAAAATAACAAATTCTTTGAATTAGCCGTGGGTTGAGTAGTTGGAAGTACAAAAAATGATCAAAAGTTCCATAGAATAACATTAAGTATTATTAGTATGGACGGAAGTTGATTATCTGAATTAAGAGGTATCTTTAGTGTGAAAAAGCACAATAAGGATAGAATTTGAGACTTGCAGCACTGTGAAGTTAAAAGTTATTTTCAACCCTTTCAAATAGGAAAAAATTGATCCGACAATAATTAAGAGTTTTTATAGGAAATTTCACATATGTGGCTCATGGTTTATTGAAGTGTATTTGACAAGTTTGATAGAACATTAATCAAGAATGGTGGAGGAGGAGATGTTGTTGGAAT